AGACTGTCACACAGAACTCCATGTGGACTGTCACACAGGGCTCCATGTAGACTGTCACACAGAACTCCATGTGGATTGTTATACAGCCTGGTCAACATCATCCATTAATGGAACCTTCCAGACTATATGCCACTTAATTTGAATTATTCCAACTTCTTAAATGTCATTCCCACAAAGTATGATTGTCAGGAAATGACACATAAAAAAACAGTTCTAGAACAATAATAACTACATAAAATAAATATTATAATGCAATATTGCTTTAACTGTGCGAGTGTGATAATTAAAGGTTTGTTAGTGGAGGCTGTTTTCATTTACCCACAGTTCCTCAGGCCGTTCTTGAGGTGGTGGGGCACCTGTCATTTGAAAACCCCTCAGTGAAGAGTCACTCTTGCTTTACGTTCTGCTTATGGCCAAGCTGATAATATTGGCAGTATGGTTTAACTGTGGCACAACCTTATCAAAGTCGGAGTGGCCCCAGAGCACGGGCCATTCAGTGACCTCCAGTGAGTACCTTTTATATAGCGCATTACGCTATATGACCTGAGTAATGCGACTGCCTGCCGTTACGTGTTTTAATCTGTCTTTAATGCTCCTGCGGCTCTGTCCTTATCTCTGTAAAGGTTGTGCTGACAAGGAGCATGTCTTTATGGCGGCTGCTGCCCGCGGCGAGATTGCGGTCCATCGTCATCACCGGGAGATCGTAAATAACAGGTCTGGCTGAGTGCTGCCTGCGCATGGAGAGGACCTCGCTATCCCGCGCTCTTTAATGGGTAATACCCAAGAATTCAGGGAACCGCCCAAGAGCACAAATTACCAGCCAGCTTCTTGGATGAGCAGAGCATGAATGAACATACCTGATAGACCCTTCCACTAGACTTAACATTTAACGCAAGTATTTGTACATAATTAGAATAATTCCCATAACACAGAGTACAACGTATCATTCGTCAATATTATCCCTGTCAAAGAGACACCACTGGTAGACCTTAAAAGGATGGTATGATTATTTCAAGAACAGCCACAGATATGATATATTTCAATAGTGCACCTGCTCCAATGATTTCTCCTTGTACACTTTGACGGCCTTGATGACCGGCATTGAAAATTATTGCCATGACTCAGTGAGGAAAAAATGTCAGAAAGGTACAGGGCTGCCCTCTGTTCTGGCCTGTGTCCGGACAGAAGAGACACCTCTGTCCGTGCCCATCAATGAGCTCTTATGCTATGAGAGTCAGTCGGCGATGCTGCAAACAGGTCCCTGCAATAGCAGCAGGCCCTGCTAGCTCTGAAAGCCAACTATGGCGCTCCATCTTGCTGTGCTCTATACCGACACCTAGTTATCTTATTGGGAGGGTGACGGACGCATACTGTTAAGCTGTCTGTAGGCACTGGGAGACTGGACCGCAGCTTGGAAATAATTAACTAGGGGTTTTTGTCCCTTTATGAGTTAGTGCTCCTTGTTTGGAGGAGCAAGTGGAGGGAAGGAATGACTCCGGGCTGGGTCATAATGCCGCTGAGTTGAATCAGAATGACTCCAGGTTGCGTAGGAATGACTTGGCTTACATTGGAATGACTCCAGGTTGCATAGGAATGACTTGGCTTACATTGGATTGACTCCAGGTTGAGTCAGAGTGACTGAATGGGTTGTGTTTAGTCTTGAACACACAAAGCTGATTTGGGGGTGTTTTGACTAAGTTGAGCCTGGGGTAGCTTTACTTTCCCCCTTCACTTCATAAAGCCCTTTAGGGCATGAACACGGCAGCGGGCGACACGTCCTGCTATTAGTAGGGGAGTGGGCAGTCATGACGTGAGGTGCCCCGATGTGCTGGATGGAAGGTGAGGTGAGGTACAAATGGAGAGGGGCCGTGACTCCGGCCCGCGGGGAGCGTCCCTTATGTCCTCAAGGGAGACAGCGGTGGCTTTGTGCTGTCCACTGAAAGAGGCCATTCATCTGGCCTGGCTGACACTTCTGAAGCCTCCTCCATGCCCTTCCTGATCTCAGAGCCTGGAGTAAGGAGGATGCTCCCCGCATCCCACTGGATTTCCACGTCCATCTCACTGAACCCCGTAATCAGCAACAAAGCAAAGGATTCACAGCTTCGAGGTGTACACAGGGTGCTTTCTCTTTCACCTATC